ACCAGCCTGGGCAACTTGGTGAGACCTCATCGCTACAATAAATCAAAAAATTAGCTGGGCGTGGTGGCACACGCCTGAAGTTGCAGCTACTTGGAAGGCTGAGGCAGAAGGATCGCCTGAGCCCAGCAGGTTGAGGATGTGGTGGCTGTGAGTGTGCCACTGAACTCCAGCCTGGACAACAGAGTAAGACTCAAACTAACAAAAATAAACAAAAAATCCCAAGGTGTTGAGATTACAGGTATGAGCCACTGTACCAGGTCTGTGAAGGATTTTCATGTTGCTTCAACTTTCTTTTCCCTGATTATTGGTGAATTAGCTGGAGTTAATTTTTTTTTCATTTATTGTAGAGACGAGGTCTCACCATGTTGTCCAGGTTGATCTCGAACCCGTGGGTTCAGGTAATCTTCTCAACCTCAACCTCCCAAAGTGCTGGGATTATAGGCTTGAGTCACCATGCCCAGCCAAAATACTGTGTATTCTTACATATTTAAACTTCAGTTACCTTCAAAGTACTCTCAGTTTAACACAATATGCCTTATGATACGCTGCTTCCACTGCTCTAAACAGTTTTTGAACTCGTGTCAATGCCTTTTAGCGTTTCTGACATTTTTTTAAAAGTGTATGTTGAACCAGTCCTGCACTCCAGGATCTGCCATTTTTTGTTTCACCACTTCCACATCAGCAAAATGTTTGCCTTTGATAACTTTTTTATCCAAGGAAACAAAAAAAATCGCTTGGGGCAAGATCAGGTGAACATGGAGGCTAAGGAATGTGAGTTATGCTGTTTTTGGTCAAAAACTGAACGCTTAGTGCTGTGTTGGGCAAGTGTGCTAGTAAATCACCCATCATGAAATAGGCAAATGTGTTGAAAGAATCTCAAAAATAAATTCACAGAAGCCCAAACACAGTCTCTCACAACACTGCAAGCTGGTACACTGATGCTGATGAGTGCCTAGAACACTTATCTAAGCAGGGGAAGCCTGTACTGCCAGGGGACCGGCTCTAAAAGATAATTCCAGTATTTTTGTGGGGGTCCCCCCTCATATGCTAAGGCTGCCCGTGTGAAATACATATGAATGTGAGCAAAGTCTGGAAGAGTGGCAGTTAAAAATGAACAAAGTTGGACCAAGATGGCTGAATGCAAATGGACTACTCTTTACAACATTTTTGTTATACTGAATACTGAAGAGGCAAAAAAGTAGAATTTTCTACAGGCTGTGAGAATAGCTTAATGTAGAAAATGGTATCAGTTGTTAGGAAAAGTATACTCACCTGTTTTCCATCCACTTCAATATCTGCCACATAGTTCTCAAACACTGTAGGCACATATACCTCTGGGAACTGGTCCTTGCTGAAGACTATGAGCAAGCATGTCTTGCCACAGGCCCCATCGCCAACAATCACCAGTTTCTTCCGGATAGCAGCCATTGCTGAAACACAAAACACAGGTGTCATCTGGAAAGCACAAGGAGCCATAGATGGTTATATTAGGCTATGACACACATTTTTGTAACCATGGAACAATAGCCTCTATAAGTATACCCAAATTGAAAATTCTAGTACACTGATCTATGTGGCACCAAAAAATTATACACCAGAAAATTCATAACTAACATAATACTTAATGGTGAAAGACTAAAAAGAAAGTCTTCCCCACAGGATCAGAAACAAGACAAGGATGTCTGTTCTCACCACTTCTACCCAAAAAGACACTGGAGGTTCTAGCTGGGATGATTAGGTAGGAAAATGAAATTAAAAGCATCCATATTAGAAAGGAAGAAGTAAAACTTTAAGTCATGCAGGACATGATCTTGTATGTGGGAAATCCCAAGGAAGTCATTAAAATATTTTTGAATGAGCAAGTTCAGCAAGGTTGCAATACAGCAATGATTAGTTTGAAACTGAAAATAAGAAAATAATTTTATTTATAATAGCATCAGAAAGAATAAAAGATTTAGGATGAATTTAATAAGAGAACTGTAAAACCTATACTTTGAAAGCTACACAACCAGGCACAGTGGCTCATGCCTGTAATCTCAGCACTTTGGGAGGCATAGGAGAAAGGACTGCCTGAGTCCAGGGGTTCGAGACCAGCCTGGGCAACTTGGCAAGACTCGCCTCTACAATAAATCGGAAAATTAGCCAGGCATGGTACGTGCACGCCTGTGGTTCCAGCTACTTGGAAGGCTGAGGTCAAGGCTGTGGGAGCTGTGAGTATGCCACTGCACTCAGCCTGAGCAACAGAGTGACATTCTGACTAAAACAAAACAAAACAAAAACAAAGTTGCAGGACTCATACTTCCTGATCACAAGATTTACTATACAGCTACAGTTATCAAGACAGTGTGGTGCTGGCATAAGGACAGACATACATATCAATTAAATAGAATTGAGAGTCCAGAACAAGCCCTCACCACTTATGGTCAGTTAATTTTCAAAAAAGGGTGCCAAGACAACCCAATGGAGAAAGTAAGTCTTTACAACAAATGGTGTTAAGACAACTGAAAAGATACATGCAAAAGAATCCAGTTAGACCCACACTACTAATCACATACAAAAATTAACTCAAAAAGGATTATAGGTCTAAATGTTAAGAGGTAAAACTATAAAACTATTTAAAAGGTGGCAAAATGGACATAAATGGAATCATACAGTATTTCTCCTTTGTTGCCTGGCTTATTTCACTCAGCATAATGTCTTCAAGGCTCATCCACACTGTAGCATATATCAGAATTTCCCTCCAATTTAAGGCTGAATAATATTCAACTGAACACACATACCACATTTTGTTCATCCACTCATCTGTCAGTGACTACTTGTCTGTACCTTTTGACTAGTGTGAATAATTATTCAACAAGAGCAATCAGCAAGAACTGATAAACTGGATTTCCTGAAAATTAAAAACCTTTGTAATGTAGAGGATTAGGTGGGTGATCTGGCTGAGGAGCTCTTGTGAGGTTGCAATCAATATGCTGACTGAGATCCAGGATACAAAAAGAACTTACAATTTTACAATAAAAACACAGATAACCCAACATAAAAATGGGCAAAAGATCTGAGTAGATACAATCCAGTGACCCAACATGGTGGCTCATATCTGTAATCCCAGCACTTTGGGGGGTTGAGGCGAGAGGATCACTTGAGCATAGCAGTTCGAGACCAATCTAGGCAACAGAAAGAGACCTCATCTTTACAGAAATAAAAAAATTAGCCAGGTGTGGTGGAACTAGCTATGTGGGGGCTGAGGCAGAAGGTCTGCCTGAGCCTAGATGTTTGAGGCTGTGGTGAGCTGTGATCATGCCACTGCCCTCCAACCTGGGTGACAGAGACTATGACTCAAAAAAAAAAAAAAAAAAAAAAAAAAG